GTGCCTCTGTGATTGAAGTTGCCAATTTATTTGCGGTGTTTCGAGGTACAGTATCAAAGGTTATGACGGCATATACAGTTTCCAGGAAAACGTTGTCTGATAAGCATATAACGGCGACATGGTCAACTGACCAATAGAGACAAAAAGACATTGTGCAACATTGTGACCTGGAATAAGAAAACAACTGCGGCAAAATGACTGCAGAGCTCAGACTCAGTCCCGTCAACCTGCAAATCATTTAATGCTTCAATTTTTTTGTTCAACCCCTGTATTAAAAACAAACAAATATATACATAGTATACACACACAAATATCTACTACATCACACAGTCAAATAAGAAGAAGAGAAAAAAAAATATGGGATGAGGTTCAATCTGCAGGGGTGGGGGATCTGCTTGGGGGGGTGGGTGTTAAAAAGACATAGCTGCTGTAGCCCTTGCAGAAAAAGGAAAAAAAAAACCATAAACAAACCATCTTAAAAGTCCATCATATATAACCATTACCTATCCTAACACACAGAAAATATGATTTAAGATATTCAGATATGATATTACAGAATAAAGAAATCCAAATAATTATTACCTACCACAAATAACTGATATGTACAGTCAAGTCCCAATGGTTCATTGCCACACTCCACACCCTACCTGTGAATGCACTACAATTTAATTGCAAAAACTCAAATATTCCAAAGATTCAATTCAAATGGACCACACATAAAGAACAAAACTGAGCTTATAATTTTTTTTTTACATTTTTGTTGAAAAAGTTTTTTTTTACATTTACATATATATATATATTCCATACATACAAATAATATAAGATAACATACCCCCCTTTACCACACATACATTGGTGTATCACTCTCTTACACATATTATTAAGCCAATTAGGCCGTTTTCCCAAATATAAACATAACGTAGATTCATTTATTTTTTCCACAATTTAAAATTATTCTAACACTATTCAAACCCTCTCATTACAGGTCAATCTTATAGTATCCACCCACGATCCCCATATTTTCTCAAATTTCTTAAGACACCTCCTTTTCATGTAAACAAATTTTCACTTCTTACAGTATTTTTTTACTATTTTCTATACTTGTTGGAGGGTCTGATTCCAGCCATCTCTGTGCAATAAGCTTCTGAGCCTGAAATAAACACCTAAGCACCGTAATTTGTGTATTATATGACAAGGTCCCCTCATCTATGTAGCACAATATACATTACTTAGGATCCAGTCTCAGGGACACAAACATAGATTGTATGCTATCAAGAATATCTAACACAAACATTGGGAATGGGTCACTCTCAGGAGCTCAGGTAATTCAAGAGTGGTATTGTGATAGGTTGCCAACTGTGCAATAAGTCCATCTGTGAAATTTCTTTGCTACTAAATATTCCATAGTCAACTGTTAGTAGTATTATTACAAAGTGGAAGCAACTGAGCACAACAGCAACTCAGCCACCAAGTGGTAGGCCAGGTAAAATGACTAAGTGGGGTCAGCAAATGCTGAAGCACACAGTGAGCAGAAGTCGCCAACTGTCTGCAGAGTCAATAGCTAAAGACCTCCAAACTTCATGTGGCATTCAGATTAGCACAACAACAGTGCATAGAGAGCTTCATGGAATGGGTTTCCGTGGCTGCGAGTAGCTGCATCCAAGCCTTACATCACCAAGTGCAATACAAAGCGTGGGATGAAGTGGTGGAAAGCAGACCACCACTGGACTCTAGAGCAGTTGAAGACATGTTCTCTGGAGTCACCAATCATGCTTCTCTGTCTGGCAATCCGATGGACTTGTCTGGTTTGATGGTTGCCAGGAGAACAGTACTTGCCTGACTGCATTGTGCCAAGTGTAAAAAAAATTAAGTGGATGGGGGATTATGATGTGGGGTTGTCTTTCAGGGGTTGGGCTTGGCCCCTTAGTTCCAGTGAATGTAAATCTTAAGGCATCAGCATACCAAGATATTTTAGACAATTTCATGCTCCCAGCTTTGTGGGAAACAGTTTGGGGATGGCCCCTTCCTGTTCCAACATGACTGCACACCAATGCACAAAGCGAGGTCCATAAAGACATGGATGAGTGAGTTTGGGGTGGAGAAACTTGACTGGCCTGCACAGAGTTCTGACCTCAACCCGATATAACATGATTGGGGGATGTAATTAGAGCGGAGCCTGCAAGCCAGGCCTTCTCGTCTGATATCAATGCCTGACCTCACAAATGCGCTTCTGGAAAATGGTCAAACATTCCCATAAACATACTCCTAAACCTTGTGGACAGCCTTCTCAGAAGAGTTGAAGCTGCTATAGCTGCAAAGGGTGGACCAACTCAATACTGAACCATACGGACTAAGACTGGGATGCCATTTAAATTAATGTGTTTGTTAAGGCAGGCGTCCCAATACTTTTGGCAATATAGTGTATATTTCCACTCCTCTACTGTACAACTCCCTATATCCTCCACCCATCTACTACTGTATGAGAGTTCAACATTTCCCTCTAATGCTGCAATATGTATCGCAGCATAAACATCAGATATCATTACTTTAAAAGATGACGCAAATATTAACTTACGTAACAGGGGTATCCCATGCCATGCTAATACCTGTCCTTTAAACTGCTCCCTAATATGCACTATATCTGTAGAAAGATTATTGTTGGATGGCAAATTCCTGTTTTAATTCTTAAAATGTTTGCGGTGAATCAATTGGGCCAGATTTACTATCCCACAGATTTTTTCCATTCCTTATTCTTCCTATACTAAACAGATCCAGTAGGTTCCTATTATCCCAAATTTTAGGAAGAGTTCTGTGAATCTCCAATACCCCATTAGTGCCTTAACTACCTGCCATAATTTTACTAACAGTGACAGTGTAGGACACTTCAAAACAAAAGACTCTGCCTCTAAAGCCTCTAACCACTGTATTGTGCCCTGCACAGGTCATCCCCATATCTGTACATGCATCCCTCTCTTCTGTTAATCACACTATTCCTTAAGTGCCATAACTGTGAAGCCGGAAAATAACTCCAGGGGTGAGGTAAAGCTAATCCTCCCCATATCCTTTGGCAATTGTAACGTACGTAAGCACATCCTCGACACCCCTTTTCTCCAAATTAGTTCTCTGAAAATAGTATTCAATCTCTTGAAACCACTGTTTAAGGTTCAATATTAGGGATTTATGTAATAGATCCAAAGTTGCAGTAACCAGATCATCCTAATTAGGTATTAGCGTCCTGCCACTGATAATAGAAGTCAGCACTACACCCAACTTTTTCTTTTAAAACTAGCTATTAATGGGGGGCTATAATATCAATGGTGTAGTGCTTTAGGATCTCCTGTTATATACACCTCTAGATACTTAATTTTATTAGCTATCTCAATCTGAGAAGAACGGCCTGTAAAGGTTCCTCTAATGGATCCACGGGTAACTGATTTATGCCAATTAATGGTCAGGCCAGAAAACCGCCCAAAGTCACCAATTATTACCCATTACATTAATCAACGAGAACTGAGTGTCCCCCAGGAAGAGGAGGACATCATTCGCATATGAAGCTATTTTCTCCTCCCATGATGTCCGCTGGAACCCGCAAACATACAGTGATGATCTAATGGCTACTGCCAATGGTTCCATTGCTAGGTAGAAGAGGAGGGGCCCTGAGCCAAAAGAAAGGTCTCTGTGAATTCACTATTTACTCTTACTTTTGCTTTAGAAGCCTTATAAAGCAACCTAACCCAATTAATGAAGGATGGGACCAAACTGAAAAAGCTCCCAACGCATGCTAAAGATAAATACCAATCCAGGCTTTCAAAAGCCTTGGCTGCAGAAAGTGCCAGCAGAGCTCTCAATCCCATATTAAACAATGGGATCTGTAAGTTGAGGTACACTTGTCTTATATTTCATACTAGTTGATCTATTAAGTATAAACCTAGACTGGTCCAGGTGTATAAGTACCTGAATGACCTTACTAAGCCTATTGGCTAGAACCTTCACCAAAAGTTTCACATCTGTACACAACAGGGATATTGATCTTCTTCTCTAGAGAAGCATGAAATCCTCAAATCCTTGAAATAAACCCCAAATTTCTCCTTCCACATCTACACAGAGGGAACTATACAACCCTTCATAATAGCTTTTAAAGGTATCCACAATTTCTGCAGAGTATGAGGTGATTCTAACTGTGTTTGTTTTAATAGCCAGTACAACAGAAGAGACAGAATTTGCTCTTGTTATTAATGCCAGCATATGACCCACACCTTCCCCTTCCTCATAGCAACGCATTTTATGAAACAACATTTTATTCTCTGACTTCTCAAGGACTAGGTTCTTATATTCTTCCTGTTTAATCGACCAATTAAGAAGTGCACCAGGAGCCGGATCATCCACATTTTTCTTTCCACCAATGTCACCTCTTCAATAATAGATAATTCTTGTTCTTTAGTGCGTCTCTTGATCCCCAAAATTTGCTGTAATAATACTACACGAAGAAAGGCCTTGAGAGCAGTCCACATTACCGCTGGGGTCACAGTACCTACATTAATTTCCACAAACTCCCTTACCATCAACACCAATTCTGCCTTCCCTGTTAAAACAAAAGGGATTTATTTACCATTCTTCTGGACAATGATTTTTGCCTAGACACATCAACAGAATTAGGGGAGAATGATCAGAAAGGCCTCTAGGCATGTAATTTACACTAGATCTAAAACCCAGGGCATTATCATTTCCCAGGGTAAGGTTAATCCTTGAGAGTGTAAAATGAGTACAGGAAATATTGTTAACATTAACTTCCACCGATACACTGGGAGGGAGTCTATCCATCTTCGCATCCAGCACCATATTAACCGCTTCCGTGCCGCCCTATAGTAGAAATACTGCTACAGGGCGGCACATGTGTGCAAAATCACGTATATATACATAATAGCTACACTGCCATTTGCGGCCTCAGCTGTCAATCATCGGGTCCCAACCGATGATCCCTCGCCAGCACCTGGCGATCTCTGAGTATTACCGATGGGGTAGAGACCTGTATGTGAAAAATACAGACCCGTGTCAGCTCCTGCACACTGCTTTGTATGGCTCTGCATAGCAATGTGCTTACAGTGTAAAGTGCACACAGCCCACATAGTAAAACAGCACACGGTTAACCCTTTGATCACCCCACATGTTAACCCCTTCCTACCCAGTGCCATTAGTACAGTGTCAGTGCTTTTTATTAGCACTGATCACTGTATTGGTGTCACTGGGGATGTCAGTGACACCAAGTCAGTTCCCCCCAGTGTCAGAATGCCTGCCATAGTCCTGCTATAAGTCACTGATCGCTGTCATTACTAGTAAAAAAAAATAATTCCAGTATATATACCGCCATTTGTAAACACTATAACTTTCACGTAAACCAATTAATTTACACATATTGAGATTTTTGTTAGAAAATACATATAGCAGAATACATTTTGGCCTAAATTTATAATAAAATTAGATTTTTTACTGGACATGTTTTGGCAAAAAGTAAAAAATATAGGGTTTTTTCAAAATAGTTTTTTTGTTTATAGCGCAAAAAATAAAAAGCACACGATCAAATACCACCGAAAGAAAGCTCTATTTGTGGGGAAAAAGGACGTAAATTTAATTTGGGTGCAGCATTGTATGACCGTGCAATTGTCAGTTAAAGTAATGCAGCACCGTATCTCAAAAAATGGCCTGGTAAGGAAGAAGGATAAATCCTCTGGAGGGCAAGTGGTTAAAGTCCCCCACCACTAATACTGGCACTCCAGGTTTATCTGCAATAAATTGCATCAAACAATACAAAACCTTGCCTTTAAATGGTGGGGGAATATACACATTTGCCAATATACACAAGATGTTTTCAAAAGAACAATAAAAAAAGACATACCGCCCTCATCATCAATACAGGACTACCTGCAAGAAAAGGCTTACCATACATTAAATGTCTATAGGACCCCAACACATCCAAGAGACAAAATTCCATCGCAAATGCTGAACCCACTAAAATAGAATAAATATAACAACATTAGTCACATTAAAGGTCACAATTCACATAATTGCACCCAAAATGCAAAAGAAAAGCCTACAATTTAATGGAATACATACAGTACCATCAGTTTACCAGTAGGACCAGCAAGAGTCTCTTACATACAGTATCAGGAACTTCCTGTCTCTGTGCCTTCGGCTTGTGTCTTCCAGATCTCTAAGGAAGCTGACTTTTTATATGCTGGATGATTATACAGTATGTTTAATGTTTACAGTATATTGAGCTACCTAATTTTTTAAAATTAATAAACGGTTTTAAATGGTGAGCATTAGATCTGACCTTATTACTTTGAGGGATGTATGATGTACAGTACATTGGAGTGAAACCCTTGGATAGTAATTATTTGGTGTTCCTGTTACCCTCAGGACTGAATATGTAGGTCATCATCTTACCATATTTACAGTCATGCCTGTCATGCCTGTCTTGGCCACTTATAATCTGTAGGTTGCTTCCAAGGTGAGCAGATTTTTACAATGTTTTTATTGGCTGTCGCTCACACGTTTGTGGTGGTATAAAGGGAAGAGGTGTTCAGTTGTTCCCCAGAGGAAGACTACAGTAAATAAAGAATGCACATGATTTTGGATGATCACAGAACTTTTTTTCACACACTTCTTTTGGAGATACACAGTGCACAGTATATTTGTACAGACATGTTAACATGTTTGGTATAATTTATATTGTTTATAATAGTATATTATAGTATAATTGTATATATTTAGTTAGGTTCAAAAAACATGTGTACTGGTGAAGGCACAGGACTCATGGCTGTGGTACAGCATGGAAGACATGATCTGTCCCTCCTACTCCTCAGTATCCTCAACATAGTACTAATTAATGGCTATTATTTTCCTCCACTTCAGCCTAATAACCCATAACATATAAATTATAAAGTGCAGCGTTGATAAACTATATATATACACTGGATATAAGGCTAACCACAACCTAAATATACAGTATGAAGTCCAAAGAAATAATGTCCAATAATGGTAACAAATAGATGAAACGGTGGCTTTGTTATTTTCCAGTGAGGCACTCACTCAAAAAACCGTGCAGGAAATATAAAAAATGCGTACTCACCAGATGCGCAATATGGAAGCGCAATAATATAAGCCAAAGATCCCCTTTTCCTCTTATGGAAGGTGCAGCTCACACTGGGCAGGTTATTCCACAGTATTGGCGCCTTTAAAGGTCTTCTCTACGGGTGGAAACTGAAGTGGAGGTTGGCACATGTAAGTCACTCTTCTCTGGGCCTCAGGGTGGTCACCATAGGGTTCTGGGGGATTAAATGCTCGATGTGGAGCAGAGAACAGTGGCCATAGTGTAGTAGGTCAAAATATCAGATTTTATTGGAAAAAAAAGTAATGAACATACAAAAAAGAACTTGGAGTCCTTCGCCGATCAAGTGTATAAGGTAAAATCATTCAAACTATTCAGAACACTAACCAGCTGGATGGTTATGGGGGCCACCGGACCTCCTTGATCCGGCGGTGTGACGTCTCAGGCATGTGTGGCTCCTCCTATTGTCTACTCCACATCGAGCATTTAATCCCCAAGGACCCTATGGTGACCACCCTGAGGCCCAGAGGAGAGTGACTTACATGTGCCGACCTCCACTTCAGTTTCCACCCGTAGAAAAGACCTTTAAAGGCGCCAATACTGTGGAATAACCTGCCCAGTGTGAGCTGCACCTTCCATAAGAGGAAAAGGGGATCTTTCCTTATATTATTGCGCTTCCATTTTGCGCATCTGGTGAGTGCGCATTTCTTATATTTCCTGCACGTTTTGTTGAGTGAGTGCCTCACTGGAAAATAACAAAGCCACCATTTCATCTATTTGTTACCATTATTGGTGTCAGGAATAGACTCACCACTGGTGGTACTGTGGCTCACTTGCTCTGTGGGCTGCAGTACCAGCTCCTACCAGAGGGTGCTTTCAGCAGCCAGGGTCTCACTCCTGCAATCAAGCCATCACCTGAGGCTGATTGCAGGAGGTCTATTTAAGCAGGACCAGGCCTGCAATCAGTGCCTTGGTGTTTGTTTCCCATGAGCCCCTGTACCTGGTATCCTGTAAATCTTCTGTTGCCGACCTCTGCATTGTTCCTGACCCTGCTGACCATTTCCTGTTTAACTCCTGGCTTGCTTGACCATCCTTCTGCCTGATCCTCTGTACTGTGCTGCCCATGAGTTACTGAACCCGGCTTGTGACCCTGACCATTCTCTGCCTGCTCCTCCGGTGCCTCGCTGCCCGCATGTTGCTGACCTGGCCTGCCTGACTACGCCTTATGCTACCCAGACGATCCATCCATTCATCCCGCACGGATCTGTCCCTGTTACCAGGTCTGCCAGCCTCTTCACGTCAGGCTCCTTTCCCCGCCCACCTCTGACGACGCTCTCTACCATTGCCGGATGTACTCAGGGGTTGCGACCTGGTCACAGTCTGCTCCAAGTCCATCCCCACCATTAGGGGCCCTGGGGAATAAGCAGATTGGGACTTAGACCCCGCGCCCTGAGGAACCCCATGCTGTGGGCTGCTAAAAACGCCGCCAGGCGGTGCTTAACAGTACCAAATGGCCTACCTGACCATTCCACCTCTCCAGCCCTGACTACACCTGTGTTCTCACACATTTCTGGTCATACCCAGATCCCTAACAATTGGACATTATTTCTTTGGGCTTCACACTGTATATTTAGGTTGTGGTTAGCCTTATATCCAGTGTATATATATAGTTTATCAGCGCTGCACTTTATAATTTATATGCTTGAGAGTTTTATGGTTTACTTTTAGTGTATCAGATGCATATGTTCTCATCATAGCTCTCACTGAACTACTTCTATTCCAACCCATAACATATGAATCAGAAAAACAGTAATTCAAGAATGATTTTGGGGTTGTTCTATGCCTTATCACATGGACTTGGAGCAGACTGAGACCAGGTCGCGACTTTCGACACTGTTGACCACCCTCTCCTCCTTGCCAAACTGCACTCCCTTGGCATCATGGACGCTGCTCTCTCCTGGTTCTCCTCCTACCTTTCCCAATGCTCCTTCAGCGTCACCTACAACACTGCCACCTCCCCCTCCCTCCCCCTCTCTGTCGGGGTCCCCCAAGGCTCTGTCCTCGGGCCCCTCCTCTTCTCCATCTATACCTCCTCCCCTGGCAAACTTATTAACTCCCACGGCTTCAATTACCACCTCTATGCTGACGACACACAAATTTACCTCTCCACCCCCCACCTCACCCCCTCACTCTCTGCCCGCATCGCCCACCTCCTAAACGACATATCAGACTGGATGTCGCTCCATTTCCTCAAACTTCACCTATCCAAAACCGAGCTCCTGGTCTCCCCCCCCCATCCTCTCCATCACTACTAACAACGCCACCATCTCTCCCACCCCACACGCCAAAGTCCTGGGTGTCACCCTGGACTCCCACCTCTCCTTCCTACCCCACATCCAACTGCTATCTAGATCTTGCAGGCTCCACCTCCGCAACATCTCCAAGATACGCACATTCCTCACCCCAGACACCACCAAACAACTCGTACACTCCCTCATCATCTCACGCATGGACTATTGCAATTCCCTTCTCACTGGCCTACCCAAAGGAACGCTATCCCCACTCCAGTCGATCCTAAACTTCGTGGCTAGACTCATCCACCTCACGAACCGCTCAACATCTGCCTCCCCCCTCTGCCAATCCCTTCATTGGCTCCCGATTGCCCAACGCATCAAATTCAAACTGCTAACTCTGACCTACAAAGCCATTCAGAACGCCGCCCCAAACTACATAACTGACCTGATACCCAAATACTACCCTACCCGTGCAGTCCGCTCCTCACAGGACCTCCTATTCTCTAGCTCCCTGGTCTCCTCCTCCCACGCACGATTGCAGGACTTCTCCAGGACTTCCCCCATCCTCTGGAACTCCCTCCCCCAATCCATCAGACTGTCACCTACTCTCCTCACCTTCAGACACACCCTGAAAACCCTCCTCTTCAGAGAAGCCTACCCCAACCTCACCTAACACCTGACCTCACCTAACAACTAAACTCCTCCACTCCTCCCACCACTCCATCCCCCACAGCCATTTCCTCCTGTACCACCTTCCCCTCCCTCCTAGATTGTAAGCTCGAAAGAGCAGGGCCCTCGAACCCCTCATGTATTGTATTGTTACTGTCTTGTCTCATGTTCTGTCCCCCCTACTACTGTACAGCGCTGAGCATACCCTTTTGCGCTATATAAATACTGTATAATAATAATTTTCTATAATATGAAGCTGTCCCTACTTGTGGCCACCTCTTAGAAGAACTTCAGTATGTGATACATATCACTAAAGAGCCGCCATTTACTGTTCAC